ATTCACGGTTGGATCAAAATCACATAGACTCAGAATAGCAACTGTTTTATCTCTTTCTTTTCAGACTGTTAGTCTTTGGTCCTCACAAGCCCTGTAAATCTTTTAATTGGCAGGTTTCTCTTTGTTCTGAGTTTTCTTACATCCCACAAAGTAACTGTTTTTCTGTCACCCCTGTCACTTCCCACATGGCTAATTGCCTTGGAACACTCCTTCAGGTGGCGTCCCGTAGCCTCAGGAATACCGCCTGCAGCCCCAGAGCCCTGGTGCGCTCCCTGGTGCCCCCTCCTCCGCAGGACCTGCACCTAAGGCCCCCGATGGCCTTTGATTGGGACTGAGCAGTAATGGTTTTGCAGGACCCCTTCCGAACATGACATCTTCGGGAAAATAGTCCCATTGTTTTTCAGCCATTTATTTATTTACTTATTTATTATTTATTTTTAAAGATTTTATTATTCATTTGACAGAGAGACAGCAAGAGAGGAAACACAAGCAGGGGCAGTGGGAGAGGGAGAAGCAGGCTTCCCGCTGAGCAGCGAGCCCAGTGCAGGGCTTGATCCCAGGACCGTGGGCTCATGACCTGAGCCGAAGGCAGATGCCTAACGACTGACCCACCCAGGCACCCCATTTTTCAGCCTTTAAAAACACTTTTGTTACTTTTTCCTCCAACTTTATTTTGAAAAAAAATGGATGTGTGGCCCGTATTCATTCTCCCTGGTTGTGTAGTTGTGTCCTTTTCAGCATGTGAAGGGCGAGCCAGGCGTCCCAAGTGAAAGTCAGGTGTGTGTTGCCATCACTGTGGCCTCTTTTGTCTCTTGATGTAGATCAAGCCTCCAGCCTTTTGCTCTTCTTTCAGGACATTGATATTTTCGAAGAGACCAGGCTAGTCATTTGGCAGAGTGGTCCTAAATTTGGAATTATCTGATTGTCTCCTTAGATCTACTTTTTTATTTCATTATAAGCATTTGTTTTTGAGACCCTGTGTACAAACATATTTGTTGAAAGCATTGAACTGCTTTTCTGTTTTTAGGCAGAGGAGTATTTTCATTGGAATAAATTACCTTGTGGAATTATTTCCAAAAATAAAATTCCACTCCACACAATCAGCATTAAACCATCCACTATGTGGTTTGGAGAAAGAACCAGAAGAACAAATGTCATTGTGAGGTAAGAAAGCAACCTGTGTTTTGAGACAGATCTTGCTTTTTGAGGTAATGTATCTGATTTATTTTAGTTTTGTTTGTTTCTTTTTAAAGGTTTTATTTATCATGGTGCCTGGGTGGCTCAGTGGGTTAAGCGTCTGCCTTCAGATTGGGTCATGATCTCAGGGTCCTGGGATCGAGCCCCACATCAGGGTTCCCTGCTCAGCAGGGATGCTTCTCCCTCTCCTGCTCCCCCTGCTTGTGCTCATGCACGCTCTCTGTCAAATAAATAAATAAATAAAAATCTTTTAAAAAAAATAACGATTTTATTTATTTGAGAGCAAGGGAGTGAGTGAGAGGAGGAACAGTGGGAGGGTCAGGGGGCGAGAGCAGCAGACTCTCTGCAGAGTCGGGAGCCTGATGTGGGCTGATGAGGCCCACAGAGCTGGAGGCAGATGCTTAACTGACTGAGCCACCCAGGAGCTCTGATTTATTTTAGTTTAAATGCAATGTACCCTAACCCACAGAGGAGGATATACTATAATCGTGGGAAATAACCTCCGACATTTAAACCTGTTTAAAGAGGTTCTACTTCCAAACCTGCCTAATGGCCAATGCCATTAGCTGGGATTTCCTGAGGTCTGTTCCGGCTGGGTGGCCGGAGAGTGAAGGCATCTTGCTTGGCAGGGAGTGGGGATCTGCCGTCGTGGGGGATAGAAGCCCTTGGTGGAGTAGAGGAGCACCGTAATGATCATCGTTTTTTGGCAATACTTCCTTAATATTGGGTATTCAGAATGTCTACAAATATTTCTGCTTCTGGAAAGAGTTCCCTCTTATCCCAGGGAGAAACCCTTGGTTGTGGTGTGATTTCATATTGGAATAGACTAAGTGGGAAGGCCTGAAATTGAGAACTTTGCTTAGTTTTGATAAGTGACCTTTTCATTTTATGTTTTCTTTTCCTTTAGGACTGGAGAGAGTTCATACAGAGCTTGTTTTTCTTTTCATTCTTCCTACAGTGAGGTAAGAGGATCGATCCCATGTACTCAGAACCCTGTTGCCAGCTGCTTTGCCAGCCCCTTCCTGTTTGACAGCAGTAGTGGTCCCCTTGGCGACCAGGGGCTTCTCTTTTTCTACTGCTTAAGATTTGGTGTGGCTTTTTCCAAAGAAATTCAGGGAAAATATCAGTAGGTGAGCTATGTTTACTGAGTAATAGAGGAAATTGGCTATTATCAGCTGTTTTCAGCCTAAACATTGAAGAATACTGATGATTAAGGGTTTCTTCGCATCTTGCTTCCTGCATGTATTTTAACTTTCCCGCTTCAGTTCTGTTCACCTGTCATAAGAGGATCATAAATCTTACATAAGCGAGTATTACAAATGAAATCTCACACGGGCAGCCTTAAGGTGCTGTCCAGATTTCTGTCCTCTTCCCAACTTGGATTGTGTCAAAAAACTGTTTAAAAAATAGTCCTGAATATTTGGCAGGGGGAAAGAACAAAGGTGATTGAGGTAGAGACCTTGTTCTTAGGAAGGACATATATACTGGAATTACCCAGCTTAATAAGGGTTATTAAATGGTTTTGTTAGGATCCTTTTTATTTTTCCCTTTTCTTTAACTGGCCAACATGTAAAACATGATTATTTCAGATGTAGAGTTCAGTAATTCCGCTGTTGCATTGTTAGGATCCTTTTTATACAGGAAATTGACCTCCTCACTCAAGTGGGAACATGTTATGTGTGATGTATTTGCAAACTCCTCGTGCATTTCTAAAGTAAATGCTAGCATCTTAAAAGTGCTGAGTTTTAGTAATTTCATGTACATATTAGGAGAAAAAGGTATATAAAGTCAGACTGTCACATATAATTTTAGTTTGACCATTTCGGCACTTAAAAATTGATTTCCCTGATAACTATTATTTTTGTATTTGGGATACATGGATACAGCCCTGCAGCAGTGAGCCGTGGACGTGTTAATGATTTGAACAGGTGGATTCTTCCAGAGCTCCAGGTAGTGGCTTTCTTACCAAGTCAGCTGTAGTATTGTAAATGATTCCTTATCTTATTATCAAAGTATCATAATGACCTCTCTATTAAATGACTGACCTTAACTTTCAGGTACAAATAGGTTATGTGAGAGTATCTTGGAAGGAACTCATTGTGATAGTATAATGTAGTTGATGGTTTCCTCATTTTATCCTGAAATCTCAGATTGTTGTCAGAGCCTCCTCCTAGGGGTTTGTCTTTCGTTTGGCATCTGGCTCAGCATCAGGGTTGATGAAAATCCCTGCTGGGACTTTATGCAGTTACCCCCCCAGGAAGGAGATATTCCCTGATGCTTGAGTGGAGAGATGAAGCAGATGAGCCCCCCTGCCCTGCTGTCGGCCGGCCACACCCCCCCCCTAGATTAGCACTAGTGACCGCAGCCATAGAGGGTCATCTTGAACTCCGTGTGGTCATCTTCTCTCAGGGTGGTGGTGAGGAGACAGGCTTTCCTGAAAAGTGCTCTAAATAATAGGCCTATCCTAAGTATAGATCATGTTGAAATACATTTAAAAACATAAATCGTCAGTTTTTAAAAATTAATGATTTCAGAGCATGCACTTGAGGGGGGGTGGGGCAGAGGGAGAGAAAGGGAATTTCAAGCAGACTCACTGCAGAGGCGCACATGGGGCTCGATCTCATGACCCTGAGATCGTGACCTCAGCCGAAACCATGAGTTTTCAGCTCTATCAAGTGAGCCCCCCAGGTGCCCCATAAATAGTTCCTGTCAGTTTTTATTCTGAATACAGCGGATCCTCCTTTTTGTGGATTCCTTATTTACAAGTTTGCTTGCTCACTAAAATTTGCTCCTGACCCCAGATTAATAGACGCGGTGCTGCGTGGCTGCTTGCCGACGTGCCCCACAGAGTGGTGAGAAGCGGGAGTCCCCGGACGTGCTATTTCCAATTTAGGCCGTAAAAGGGGGTGCTCTGCCCTCTCCGCTGGGCTCATAGGGTCAACAGGGGCCCTTTTGCAGTCAGTTTAGTGCTTCATTGTACACGTTTCTGTGCTTTCTGTTGGGGATTTCACTGTTTTAAGTGGCCCCCAAGTGCAGTGCTGGGGTGCTGTGTGTGTTCCTAAGCACGGAGGCGGGGATGTGCTTTATGGAGAAAATCCCTGTGGCATGAGGTACGGTGCCTTGGACTGTGAGTTTAGGAGTTATGAATCAACAGTACACACTGAATAGGTAACCTTTTTTTTTTTTTTTTTTAATATTTTATTTGTCAGAGAGCGAGAGTGCATGCACACGTGTGTGGGTGGGGCAAAGGAGGAAACAGGCTCCGCACTGAGCAGGGAGCCAGATGTGGGGCTCCATCCCAGGATCCTGCGATCATGACCTGAGGCAAGGCAGACGCTTAGCTGACTGAGCCACCAGGCAGCCCTGAATTGGTATCTTTATTTTTTATTATTTTAAAAAAACATTTTATTTATTCATTTTCATTCATTTGAGAGAGAGTGAGAGAGAGAATGAGAGGGGAGAAAGGAGAAGCAGACTCCCTGTGGAGCTGGGAGCTGGATGCGGGACTCCATCCGGGGACTTCGGGATCATGACCCGAGCCAAAGGCATTTGCTTAACCAACTGAGCCACCCAGGCGCCCCTGAATCGGTGTCTTTAAACAGAAACTCACATAAAACAGGGTGTGATGCATTGATAGAGTGACAAAAATGCAGTGACTAGAGGCTTACAGGAAGCTTCTCTTCCCCTTAGGAGTAGTGATTCAGTGTTTGCTAATTCACCATTCCCAGTGACCTCAAGGAACATGCCCCCTGTGGACAACGAGGATAGCTGGTGTTCATGAGTTGTTTTAAGGCAGGCATCTGACGTAAGGACATCAGCTTGTACAAGGGACAGAGGATGCCCATCTAGTGGGTGTCTCTTGTCTCCTGTGGCCACTTCATTTCCAAGTAGAAGTGAATCATTTTGGTATAGGTTGACCTTGCTTTCTTTATTCCTATTCTCTTGAAAAGCCTCAGATTTCTGCCAGCCTCAACTTTGAGTTAATTATGCAAATCATGTAGGTTGTGGACAGGTAAGAGTTTCTGATTGCACGCCTGCTCTGAAAATACAAAAGAATTTATGAAAAATACCTGAAGAATGAATGTGTCTTATTTTTTTTTCTCCTATTTTAAGTAAGGTCGCCACTTTATTTTATTACGGAATTACTGTTAATCCCTGAGTTCCTACCTCTTTTGATTTGGTAAAGTTGGGTTCTAAAAATTACTCAGAGCTCAGTTTCCCCACTGGTAGGAGAGAATAAAAACCTTTGTGTTGTCACTGTCACCTCTGCGGTGGATGATTTCCTTGACTGTTAAACATATGCCGGGGCGCCTGGGCGGCTCCGTGGGTTGAGCCGCTGCCTTCGGCTCAGGTCATGACCCCAGGGTTCTGGGATGGAGCCCCGCATCGGGCTCTCTGCTCGGCGGGGAGCCTGCTTCCCCCTCTCTCTCTGCCTGCCTCTCTGCCTACTTGTGATCTCTGTCTGTCAAATAAATAAAATCTTAAAAAAAAAAAAATGCCAGGTGCCAGGCCAAACACTTCAGATGCATTATCTCCCTTATACTTTTAGATGAAGAATCTAGTAACTAAGAGACTTCAGGTAACTTGACCAAGGTCACCTGCTCACCAATGAGTGACAACGCTGAAATTTGTCGGTGTTGTAGAGCTGTTTTGAGGAATAGTGACAGAGTTCCTCTGGTTAGCGTTCTAAATTTTGCACAAAATCAAGGTATTCATGAAACTTTTGCATGTAATTTTCCTCTAGAATAAACCTAGAAGATGTAATTTCCTTATTTTATTTGTTGGAGAAAAGAAATCAACTCTAAGACCTTGTTTCCTTGTGTGTATTAAGTATTCAGCTTAATTCTAATTTCCTCGAAGGGAATTAGTTAATTGCGGGTGACTTTGTTAGACAAGGAAACTAATGTCATTTAAAGAAATATAGGGGGGCACCTGGGTGGCTCTGTCGGGTAAGCATCTGTTTTTGGCTCAGGTCATGATCCCAGGGTTCTGGGATTGAGCTGGACAATGGGCTCCTACTCAGCAGGGGGCCTGTTTCTTCCTCTCGCTATGCCCTTCCCCACTGCTTGTGCTCTCTCGCTCTGTCAAATAAATAAAATCTTAAAAAAAAAAAAAATAGAATCTTTGAATTCCATTAATCAGTAATTCCTAGTCCTTACTGTGGAACAGAATCACCTGAAGGACATTTCAATATCCTGATTCCCAGTCCCCACTGTAGCTCAGTAGCAAGAGGATTTTGGGGGGTGGGCCTGAGTGTTGGCTGTTTCTTTCCAAAAAGGTCCCCGGGTGTCCCCCGTGCGGCTAGTATTGAGAACTGCACCGTAAGAAATTCCTGCTGCTCTTTCTCCTGCCCTCCCTTTTGTTGCTTCTTTAACACACAGATTTTTCAGCATAGAGATAATCGATCCATTCTATTTTCCTTCTTCTAGATTAAAGATTTCTTGAGCTACATCTGTCCTGTGAACATATATCCAAATGTCATTCCAATAGGCACCACTGTGGATAAAGTTGTAGAAATGTGAGTAGTTGCTCCTTGTGGAACTTCTGTTGTTGAACAGGATGGATTCTGAGACTATGTTTGGGCCTAAGGACAAGGGCCAGGATGTAAGTAGGATGGACATGGCTGTCAGTACTTTTCTGGTTGGGAGCCTGGCGGCTTTCTTCAAGTGAAGAAAGGCTTCTGGGAATCTGACACAAGGAAACAGTTGGCAGTGAGGCCCTCAAGAAAAGAAATAAGTCATTTCCGTGCCCTTTCGTATTTTATCATCACTGTGCCTTAGCTTTCTGCCTCTAGAATGAGGAGGTCAAATTTGTGAGATTCTTATGAACCCCATTAAATAGGGAAGAGTAAGCAGCCAGTTGTCCTGTATTCCGTGAATGCCAGGTGTCACTGTATTACCTAATGGTCTTATAGAATAGGGACCTGCTTTTCCGCAGTGCAAGACCAAATACAGGAGTTAGCCTTCGCTCAATCCTACAGTTAGACAGCTGTGTGATGGGTTGTATTTAAGTGCTTTTATTTACCACTTTATTACAGTGAAGTGGTTTTTTCATTATTAAACATGGCTTTTCAGTTTTTAAAAGTAGTTAAACGATTTTCCCCATGGCCAAGTTTTTATCTTCTCTGTAAATGATGCTTATGTTCTAGCAGCTTTCCCCACAGGAAAAAATAAAATATTCATATTCGTTTCAGCTTAAAGCCTTTATGCCGATCTTCCCAAAGTACAGAGCCAAAGTATAAACCACTTGGAAAATTGAAGAGAGCTAGAAAAACTCACCTCGACTCCGGTAAGAAAATGGGCCCTGGGTTCAGAGGTTGGGTTTCCATGCAAAACTTTTTTCCAGGCTCTTCTGGTCTGGTGAAAGCTTCATTGGGCAGAGGTGGGCCTGGGACCTTCTGTCATTCAGACTTGTCACCGTGCTCTCAGGAAGTGCTTTTCCTTCCTTTCACAGCCTGTGAAGCCAGGAGTCCAATCTCTTTCACAGGCTTAAAACAAGTGACCTTAGAACTGTGCCTGTATTGAATTGTGTTCTCAGCTTTCTGGAAGTAGGCCCTGTGGTCAGTGTAGGCATAAGGAGAGGCTGTGCTGTTTATCTTGGACATTTCCTCTAAGATACTAGTATCTGCTGGTAATGGGAACTTGTGTTGTCATTGTGATCATTTCCAACCAGATTGATCAGCAGTGCTTCTACTAATGGATTTTCTGTGTACTTTCCTGCCTTTTTTCGTTGCTACTTGAGTTTTCCAGCGAAGAGCAGAGGTAAACTCTGAGGAAGAAATCAGAGCTTCAGATTCCTATCAAAGCTCTGCTCCTTCACAGCAGCCAGATTGCGTAGTGAGGATTCTGAAGTTAAATTGCTTTGGAGGAGGGTCTGTTACTGTACCATGGAGCTAATACATGACCCAAAAAGAGTAGGTAATAATGATAGCATTTATTGAACCCCTGCTGTATACAGCAGGTGTTGTGCTAGGTCCTTTACATACATTACAGCTAAACCCCAAACCTCCAAGGGCTATCATCCCAATTTTACTATCAAAGAAAACGAATTTTAGAGAGTGAAATAAATCCCCCAAGGTCCAGTCAGAAGTGAGTGATGGGGCTGGGATTCCTCTTTTTTTTTTTTTTTTTCTTTCTTTCTTGTGTTATGTTATCACCATACAGTACGTTGTTTTTGATGTAGTGTTCCATGATTCAGTGTTTGCATATAATACCCAGTGCTCCTTGCAATCCACGCCCTCCTTAATACTCATCCCCCCCACCCCCCTCCCTTCTAAAACCTTCTGTTTGTTTCCTGTAGTCCATAGTCTCTCATGGTTCGTCTCCTGCTCCGATCTCCCCCTAATTTTTCCCTTCTACTGTTCTCCATGCTATTCCTTATGTTCCACAAATAAGTGAAACCATTTAATAACTGACTTTCTCTGACTTATTTTATTCAGCATAATCTCCTCCAGCCCCATCCAAGTTGATGCAAAAGTTGGGTATTCATCCTTTCTGATGGCTGAGTAATATTCCATAGTGTATATGGACCACATCTTCTTTATCTCCTTGTCTGTTGAAGGCCATCTTGGCTCTTTCCACAGTTTGGCAACCGTGGCCATTGCTGCTATGAACATTGGGGTACAGATGGCCCTTCTTTTCACTCTATCTGTATCTTTGGGGTAAATACCCAGTAGTGCAATTGCCAGGTCATAGGGTAGCTCTATTTTTAATTTTTTGAGGAACCTCCACACTGTTTTCCAAAATGGCTGCACCAACTTGCATTCCCATCAACAGTATAAAAGGGTTTCCCCTTCTCCACATCCCCTCCAACATTTATTGTTTCTTGCTTTGTTAATTTTTACCATTCTAACTGGCATAAGATGGTATCTCAATGTGGTTTTGATTTGAATTTCCCTGATGGCTAATGATGAATACTTTTTCATGTGTCAGCTCATATCTTCTGCCCATTTTTTGATTTATCCATTTTTTTGGGTGTTGAGTTTGAGAAGTTCTTTACAGATCTTGAACTCTAATCCAAGCCTGTCTTTCCCATCTCCATTTCTGCGTTTCACTTAGAATCAAATAGAAAACCTTAAGATGCAAATTCCAGGACTGGTTCTAGGAAAACAGTTGTATTTTCAGATGTTATAGCTATCACATACTACATTTTCTAATCCTTCATATCTACAGACTTAATCGTAGGGTTTTTTAAGAAAGGTTTACCAAGGTATAATTGATACACAATAAATTGCACATGTAAAGTGTCCAATTTGATAGACTTTTACAGATGCATATATTTGAGAGGCCTTCACCATAACTAAGAAAATGAAAATATCCATTACCCCCCCAGGTCTCCTTTTGCCACTTTGTAATTCTTCCCAGCTGCCCCTCTTGCCTCCTGTTGTCTTGCTGTGTTGCTGTGGCAACCACTGATCTGCTATCCGATAAATTAAAATTTCCTAAAATAATCACATACAAATATGGCTTATTTCACTTGGCATATTTATTTTGAAATTTATTGATACTGTTGCAGGTATCAATAGTTCATTCTTTTTTATTGATCAATAGTACAATAGCATTCCACTGCATGGATATATAATTTACTGATCCATTCCTATTGTACATTTGGGTTGTCTCCAGTTTTTGGTTATTAGAAATAAAGCTGTAAAGATTCTGTACAAATCTTTGTATGGATGTATGCTTTCATACTAGGAGTGGACATAGGGTTGCTGTGTCTTTAAGAAATTGCCAAATTGTTTTCCAGAGTGGTTGGACCATTTTGCTTTCTTGCCAGTTCTCTTGCTCTACTTTATTGCCAGTATTTTTAGCTATCCTAATGAGTGTGCAGTGGTATCTCATGGTTTTAATTTGTATTTTCCTAATGCTCGTGAGGCTGAGCATCTTTTAATGTTCTTATTGGTGTCCATATATTTTCATTGGTGAAGTGTTCAAATCTTTACCCATTTTTAAAATTATTTTATTACTTTTTTATTAACTTCCCAAGTTTCTGGATATAAATTCTTTATCATTTGCATGCTTTGCAAAACCTTCCAGTTTGTGACTTATCTTTGCAGAGTCTTTTGAAGTGCAGTAGTTTTAAATTTTGAGGCTACATTTACTAATGTTCATTATTTATTGATAGTATAACTAAGAACTCTTTGCCTGACTCAAGGTCACAAAGATTTTCTTTTCATTTTCTGATAGAAATTTTTGTCGTTTTAGGATTTACATTTAGGTGTATGATCCATTTTCTAGTTATTTTTGGTGTATGGTGCAAACTAGAGGTCCAGAGTTGTGTGTGTGTGTGTGTGTGTGTGTGTGTGTGTGTGTGTGTGTGTGTGT